AGAAACCTGGAGTAGCCATACTTCTATCACACACTAGACTTTAAATTAAAGGCTGTAACAAGAGATAAAGAAGGGTATTATATAATAATTACAGGGTCTATCCATGAGGAAGAGCTAACAATTACAAATGTCTATGCATGAAACACGGGAGCCCCCCAAATATATGAAACAATTAATCACAAACATAAGCAATCTTATTGATAAGAATGTGGTAATTGCAGGAGACTTTAATACCTCACTTACAACAATGGATAGATCATTTAGACACAGGGTCAGTAAAGAAACAGACCCTGAATGAAACATTGGATCAGATGGATTTGACAGATATATTTAGAATTCTGTATCCCAAAGCAACAGAATATACTTTCTTCACGAATGCACATGGAACATTCTCCAAGATAGATCACATACTGGGTCACAAAACAGCCCTTAATAAGTATAAAAGACTTGAAGTCATACTATGCACACTTTCAGACAACAATGCTAGGACACTTGAAATCAACCACAGGAAAAAGTCTGGAAAACCTCCAAAAGCATGGAGGTTAAAGAACACCCTACTAAAGAATGAATGGGTCCACCAGGCAATTAGAGAAGAAATTAAAAAATATATGGAAACAAATGAAAATGAAAATACCACAATCCAAATGCTTTGAGATGCAGCAAAGGCAGTCCTGAAAGGAAAATACATTGCAGTCGAGGCCTATCTCAAGAAACAAGAAAAATCCCAAACACAAAATCTAACAGCACACCTAAGGAAAATAGAAGCAGAACAGCAAAGACACCCCAAAACCAGCAGAAGGAGAGAAATAATAAAGATCAGAGCAGAAATAAACGGTATAGAATCTGAAAACAAAAACAAAAACTGTAGAGCAGATCAATGAAACCAAGAGTAAGTTTTTTTAAAAAATAAACAAAATTGATAAACCTCTAGCCAGGCTTCTCAAAAAGAAAAGGGATATCACCCAAATAGATAAAATCATGAATGCAAATGGAATTATTACAACCAATCCCTCAGAAACACAAGTAATTATCAGGGAATACTATGAACAATTATATGCCAACAAATTGGACAACCTGGAAGAATGGACAAATTCCTAAGCAACCACCCATTTCCAAAACTCACACAGGAAGAAATACAAAACTTGAACAGACCCATAACCAGTGGAGAAATTGAATCAGTTATCAAAAATCTCCAAACAAATAAGAATCCAGGACCAGATGGCTTCCCTGGGGAATTCTAGCAGACATTTAAGGCAGAGATAATACCTATCCTATTCAAGCTGTTCCAAAAAATAGAAAGAGAAGGAAAACTTCCAGACTCATTCTATGAAACCAGCATTACTTTGATTCCTAAACCAGACAGAGACCCAGAAAAAAAAAAAAAAAAAAAAAAAAAAAAAAAAAAAAAAAAAAAAAAGAACTACAGGCCAATATCCCTGATGAATATGGATATAAAAATTCTCAACAATATACTAGCAAATCGAATTTAACAGCATATATAAAGAATTATTCACCATAATCAAGTGGAATTCATTCCTGGGCTGCAGGTCTGGCTCAACATTTGCAAATCAATCAATGTGATCCATCATATTGATGAAAGGAAAGATAAGAACCATATGATCCTGTCAATCGATGCAGAAAAAGCATTTGACAAAATTCAGCACCTTTCTTAATAAAAACCATCGAGAAAGTCGGGATAGAAGGAACAACCTTAATCATCATAAAATCCATTTATGAAAAGCCCACAGCTAATATCATCCTCAATGGGGAAAAACTGAGAGCTTTCCCCCTGAGATCAGGAACATGACAGGGATGTCCACTCTCACCTCTCACCTCTGGCTACTCCAGCTTTCTTTTGGTGACCATTAGCATGAGAGATGGTTCTCCATCCCTTTACTTTCAATCTAAAGATGTCTTTGGGTCTAAAGTGGGTCTCTTATAAACAGCATATAAATGGATCTTGTTTTCTTATCCATTCTGCTACCCTATGCTTCATTGACATTTCAAGTGAGTACTAAAAGGTATGAGTTTCTTGCCATTATGTTTCTTGTAGAGTTGGAGTTTCTGGTGGTGCTCTCTGGCCCTTTCTAGTCTTTGTTGTTATTGTTTTTATGTGTTTTTTTTCTCCCTTCAGAGAGTCCCCCTTAAAATTTCTTGCAGGGCTGCTTTAGTGGTCATGAACTCCTTTAATTTCTCTTTGTCTGGGAAACTTTTAATCTTTCCTTCTATTTTGGATGACAGCCTTGCTCAATAAAGAATTCTTGGCTGTATATTTTTCTGATTCAGCACATTGACTATCCTGCCATTCCTTTCTGGCCTGCCAAATTTCCATGGATAGGTTTTGCCACAAACCTGATCTGTCTTCCCTTGTAGGTTAGGGACTGTTTTTCCCTTGCTGCTTTCATGATTCTCTCCTTGCCTGAGTATTTTGTGAACTTGATTATGATATGCCCTGTTGATGGTTGATTTTTGTTCAATCGAGTGGGGGTCCTCTGTGCTTCCTGGATTTTGATATCTGTGTCTTTCCCCAGGTTAGGAAAGTTTTATGCTATGATTTGCTCACATAATGCTTCTATCCTCATTTCTCTCTCTTCCTCTTCTGGGACCCCTATGATTCTGATGTTGTTCCTTTTAATGAGTCACTGATTTCTCTAATTCTTAAATCACGCTTTTTTGCCTTCATCTCCCTCTTTTTTTCTGCTTCATTGTTCTCCATAATTTTGTCGTCTATATCACTGATTTTCTGCTCTGTCTCATCTATCCTTGCCACCATGGCATCAATTCAAGATTGCAGCTCAGTTATAACATTTTTTATTGCATCTTGACTAGTTTTACTTCTTTTATCTCCTGAGAAAGGGATTCTAATATATTTTTGACTCCACCTAGTAGTATTCTTATCGTGATTCTAAATTCTGGTTCAGATTTCTTGCTTGTATCTGTGTTGTTGAAGTCCCTAGCTTTCGTTTCTTCCTGCTCTTTCTTTTGGGGTGAATTCCTTTGTTTCATTATTTTGAAGGAAGAAGAGAAATTGATAAGGTAAAAATATAAAATTAAATTAAAAATTAAAAACAACACACACACACACACACACACACACACAAAATCAAATAAATGATGCCAGATTCTAGATGGGTCTGTGTCTGGTTATTGAAAGGAGTTTGATAGATTAGAGAAAAAGGAGAAAAAAGGAAAACATTTGAAAATTTGTGAAAATGAATGCAATTAATTAGAATAAAATAAAATGTTGAATGTAAAACAGAACTTGAAAAATTTACAAAAAATAAAAAATATAGTAGAAAAAATAAAGAAAAATGTTTTGAATAAAAATTGAAAATAAAAATAATTTTTCCTCTTTCTGTATTCAAGAAGAAGAAAAGAAACAATAAAGAAAAAAATTGAATAGATGAACTAGCTAAAAGACTGAAATACAATTGAAATTATGTCAGGTTTACTGTATGTCACAATTTATTTATCTATGTCACCACCAGTGAGCTTTTGAATAGCTTCTATTTTTTTTCTGTTACTATATATCTTTTGGTAAAGATTATGAATACATGTTTGTTAGAAATTCACCTGACTGTGTTTATTCTGTGGTGCAGAGAACAGATATGTTCAGCTTTAGTCACTGTTGCTTCATACCATGTGGTAAGGATTCAAGCTGTTTGCTTGATTGCTTGTTTGTATTTTATTTTTATTGCTTTCCCCCATTGGAATGTAAACTTTTTTGAGTATAGGTGCTTTATCTATCTTGCTCACAGCTATGATGAACAAATGAATGCCTGGACAAATGAGTGAGAAAGCTATATCTGAAAGATATAGTGTTCAATCAACCACACTTCTTTTTTGCAATCCAGTGAACTAATTTAAAATGTTACTATACAGAAGTCCCTCACTTCCCTGATCCTCACTGTTATCATCTGTAATTACAACTCTTAGTATGTGCTTTATTTTTATGAAGTTATTAGATGATGATGAATGTATGTGAATTTTTAAGTTTTAGAGAGATTAGTATGATTGATTATGATTATTAATAATTTCATAAAGTAACACCTATGATACTTAAGTAAACTTCTTATATAATCAAATGCAACATTGAACATGTTTTGCTGTACACTTATTGTCCTCAATTCTTGGATCATGGGGAGCATGAATATGGAATATAAACAAACTTCTACTATCCAACTGTTGTATGGTTAACCCTGATGACATTGTGACATATTTGAAAATTCACTTTAGTATCCTCCCAAACCATACTCCTGTGTGTTTAGTAAATGCTTAGGCATATAATATCCTCATGTTGCCTTTTTTGGGCAAGGTTCTTTGCTCTCATCCATGAATGTTAACTTATCTGACAAATAGTTTTCACTTATGTGTTGCAAATAAAAGTTAAATACTACATTTCTACTTAAAGTAAAACATGCCTAATTATTGCAGGAGTATAATGGCTATTAAAAAAAAACAAAACAAAACTATATTCAGTGACTCTTCCTACCAACTGAAAAACTGGAACAAACAGAGAGCTACACAACTATCTTCCTAAAGGCTATGTCAGGTATTAGTCTTCAAAATAGAGAAGATAATATTTCTCTTATACTTAGATGGTAAGTATAATTATACAGGAGTATCACATATACAGAAATTACCATCTTCCCTCCTGCACTCTTCAACACAGTTCATGCAATTTAAAATTGCATGCAATTTATTTTTATCTCTAAAACGTAAAAGCTTCAAGCAAGATTTTTTCTTTTTATTTCTTAAAAACACTGGGCATTTATTTTGAATGCAAGTGAACAGGTCATAATAAATGGAAGATATAAGAAAGGAAAGAAGAGATGAAGGAATGAAGATTAAGAGGATACATTTCTTATATTGCTCTTTTTCTTTTCCTTTTTCTTCTTCTCCATAATTAAACCTTCCTTCCAGGTTAATCCTTCATTAAGAGCATGGCCACAATGTCCACAAAGGCTCCTATTTGTCATCCACATGAGAAGAAGACATTGTCAAAACACAGCTCCTGACACTTTTTGTGTACATTTGAACCTGCCCATTGCCCTCTTCAGAGCTCCAGTCACATCCTTGTTCCTCAGACTGTAGATGAGTGGATTCAGCATTGGTGTAAGGATTGTGTAGAACACAGAGAAGACTGTATCCTGGGCTGGGCTATGGTAAGAGTGTGGCAACATATAGGTGTACATGGCAGCCCCATAGAACAAGGTCACTACTGTCATGTGAGATGAACAGGTGGCAAATGCCTTCTTTCTTCCCTCAACTGAACTCATGTGGTGGACTGTCAGGATTTGGGCATAAGAAGCAATCACCACAGAGAAAGGAATCAGCAACATCAGGACACAGCACACATACATTACTGTTTCATAGAGGGCTGTGTCTGCACATGCCAAACTCAAGACTGCAGGTGCCTCACAAAAGAAATGGTTAATTTCCCGGGAGTTGCAGAAAGGAAAGGTCATGGTTATGGGAGTTAGAAGGAAGCCATCCAAAAAGCCTCCAAACCAGGAACCTGCTATGATCATCCAACAGACCTGGCGACTCATAAGGACAGGGTAGCGAAGGGGGTTACAGATGGCCACATAGCGGTCATAGGCCATGAGGCCCAGTAGGAAGAACTCAGCTCCCACAAGGGTGAGGTAGAGGAAGTGCTGAGCTGTGCACCCCATAAAGGATATGGTTCTTTGACCCAGCAGATAATCAACCAGCATCTTGGGCACAATGGTGGAGATGTACATCATGTCAATGAAGGAGAGATGGCTGAGAAGGAAGTACATAGGAGTGTGCAGTCGTGAATCAGTGTGGATCAGGAAGATCATAATCCCATTGGCCATCAATGCAGTGAAAAAGATGATAGAGACAATGGCAAAGAGAAGGCCTGAGATGTCCTTCTTGTTGAACAGTCCCATCAAGGTGAAGTCTGTAGAGGATGTGTTGTATACTTCCATGGATCCCATGATGGTGCTGCTGTGACCTAGAATCTTCCAAATAAAATGAGAATATTCGCAGGGAATTAATATAAGGACATATAGGTTGATTGTTAAGTAAAAACTTGTAAAAGTCTGAAGAAAATACCTAAAAATATTTCCTTACAATTTTGATGCTGATATCTATCATTTAATCTATTATAGAATGTTTTTACATAAAATTGATCACCTTAAATCAATAATTCTTTAAATACATTTGACAAGATTATGTCAACAGATGCTATTGTACTATAGTGATACATATAACAACACATAGGGTATAAACCATATTGTTATTCTGTTAAACATACCCTAGTCTGGTGCGTGCATGTGTGTGTGCATGCACGTGTGTGTGTGTGTGTGTATAACTACTATGGTAGTTTAAATTGGCGTCCTTATTAAATGAATCTTTTTTTAAGTTTATTTATTTATTTTGAGAGAAAGGGAGAGAGAGAGAGTGAGCAAGGGAGGGGCAGAGAGAGAAGTTGAGACAGAATCCCAAGCAGGCTCCACATTGTGCAGTGCCTAATGCATGGCTCCATCCCACAAACCATGAGATCATGACCGGAGCCAAAATCAGGAGTCAGACCTTCAACTGACTGAACCACCCGAGTGCCCCAAAGGAATCATTATCATAATCAACAATACCACCATCTTAAAAATATCCCAGCACTGATGATAAGTAGTCTATCTCTGCCATTTAGCTACAAATGAGTGATTGTCAATGTGGACTGTGAGAATTTGAGAATTATGAGTATTCTTTTGATACCATTTCATCTGTGTTGCAGACAAAATTGTATGGGAGAAAATGGGAAATAGAAACCACTCTTGCAAACTCAGAAAAAAAAAAAAGAGGCAATCACTCTTGTAGAATTATTTTTATTTTTAAGAAATAAATTTAAATTTAGGATGATGAAGAATTGGCATTAGGATTATGTATTAGCATCAGCATTCGCTATTTATTAGTATTTAGTGTTTGCAATTAGGATTCAGAGGAAATAACACAGGGACATACATGGTTAGCCATAAACCACCTGCTATTTTTGGAAATTGAATTTTTTTCATATAGATTGGTAATTAAAAATACTGATCATATTTTACTTAATTTCAAGTGGTGATAAAAGAAAAAAATCTACAACAAGCTTTTTGAAAGTTAATTATTATTTTTCATATGTTTAACATTAAGTATGTCAAGGTAAGATATATTTTACCAATGTGTTTTTAAGGTAGATTGACCAAACTAATCCATTCCTGTAAATACTATACAAATATGAGCATTTGAATTAATTGCACAGAAAAGAAAATGCTATTAAGAATAATTACAGGGGCACCGGGGTGGCTTAGTCAGTTGAATGTCTGACTCTTGATTTTTGGCTCAAATCATGATCCAAGGGTGGTGGAATCAAGCCCTGCATTGGACTGCATACTGAGTATGGAGAGAGATTCTCTCTCTCTCTCTCTCTGCTCCTCTTCCCTGTTGTGCACACTCTCTCTACCTATTCCATCTTATTTAAAAATTTAAAAAGAATAATTAGAAAAACACTGTAAAGAGTTTACTTTGTGCCAAGTGCTTCATTTCGATTGACTTGTTGAGCTTCACAATAAACCTAAGAAGTGAGGAACTATAACCCTCATTTCACTGATGGCAGAATTGTGAATAATGTTCTTCTGGTCACACATACTCTTAATGGCAGGGATGTTTGGACCAGGAAGCCTCAAATCATTCTGTGTTCCTACCTACAATCCAAAAAATTAGGCATTTACATTATCTGTCAAATTAAATGTGCCAACAATGTAAATCTGTGAATTTTTTAACTATATGCAATAATTAATATTGCTAATGAAAATATGTCATAATTGAGAATATACCGCACAAATTATTATACTCAAGACTGCTGTTTTTAATAGAATAAACTCTATTTTTCTCTTTTATCTTTTTATGTGTATGAATTTCAAACTATTTGAAACACATTTTATAAATTTCCCTGACACCATATACCATGTCATCATCATTTCCAATCGGCCTCATTTCCTTTACCTTTCTAATTAAAATATGTATCTAAAGGGAAAATGCTGTCAAGTTTATGGAATAGCCTAAATATAAGTTGTATTCTGTTTCCACACCTTTCACATTTTCAGTCTAACTCTTATGATGCACTAAATTCCCAGTAACAGAGGCAAAATTATGTATTCCTTTACAAGGTCAAGTAGTTTTCCCTGTTCATCATTCACATGCATTCTAAAATATTTTAAAAATATCTATCTTTCTGTTTTTTTTTCTCTATCTCATCCTATAGTCCTAGCATAACAAAGGCAAACTCTAAAGTCTTCTCTATTTTGCATCTGGCTGGCCTTACTCTCCTTTTTGCACGTAAAAGTTCTAAATGGTCAGAGAGCAAGTCCTGTTTGGTTAAATCTGCTATTTTACTATGAGGAAACATGATGAGAAGGACCCATACTTATTAAATTTCTGCTGAGGACAGATTATATTATTTTGTTATGGTTAGTACAAATGAAAATAATCAGAAAATGTCTAGAATAATTATGTGACCTTATACAGGAATTTTCTTCTGCAATATTATAGTAGACATAGAGTAAAGCAAAATTTAGAATCAGAAGAATTGAGTTATTCTATTCATGTTAATGCTGTTACCTTGGATTCTCTCCCCCAAACACTCTGAGTCTCAGTTTCCATTTATATTAGATTTATTTTTTTAATTTTTTAATGTTTATTTATTTTCAGAGAGAGAGAGGGAGAGAGTGAGGAGACAGAGTGAGTGATGGAGGAGCAAAGAGAGAGGGAGACACTAAATCTGAAACAGCCTTCAGGCTCTGATGTCAGCACAGAGCCCGATGTGGGGCTCGAACTCAGGAACCATGAGATCATGACCTGAGTTGAAGTGGGACACTTAAATGACTGAGCCACCCAGATGCCCCTAGATTTAGATAATATAATATACAGGGCTACTCTATGGATCAAATGAGAAATTCTTAGATGAGAATATTTTATACAATGCAAAGTAAAATGCCAATGTTTTACCCATATATGTTAGTTATTTCAAAACTATTGGTATGTGAGAATCTCCAATTTCTTATTTAAGTAGTCCACATATTCAACTAAAATACATGGATTTGAATTGCAAAATAGTCTTTGAATTCAATTCTATGGGCTCTGGAATTCCTGGCAAAACTATTTCAGCCATTAAATTCTATATTTTTTCTCTAATTATGTCTTCACTTGAAGGAAATCTCCTTTAGCATAAATTCTCAGAAATATGTACATCACATTTAAGCCTGAAGAGAATCTGAACATCTATGAAAAGCATATATATGCTTGGGCTGGAAATTATGAGAACATAAGAAAAAAGTTATTAAGTAGCACCAGAGTGGCTCAGTAAGTTAAGCATCTGACTCTTGATTTCAGCTCAGGTCCATGGGTTCCAGCCTTGCATCGGGCTCCATGCTGATAGTATGGAGCCTGCTTGGGATTCTCTCTCCTCTCTCTGCCTCTCTCTCTCTTTCTTTCTCTTTCTCTCTTTCAAAATAAATAAATAAATAAAATTGAAAAAAAGACAAAAATATTAAATGAAATTGACATGACTTTATTGGATGAAATTGTTTTCAGAACTTACTTAAATTATATTTGTTACACTATATCACAAATTTTTAAAAAATGTAATACATTTATTTTATCTTGACATTTGCAAATATTCCCTTATTTTGTAAGGAGTACACATTTGATTGAGTAGAGATGTTTGAAATTACTTCTCCTACCTAACTTGAAGTCAGGATATGATTCTTGCTCAGGCCTGGGATGATCACTAAGCCCATCCTTTTAATAAAATTACAATGGAATCTCTAAGTTGTAAGTTGCAGCCTTTCCCTGATTCTATATGACCACTGGTGAACTTTCTGCCAAATGAAAGAACATACTTCGTGTTCTTTCAGTGCAACAGGTCCATTGCTAGGAAGCTCTGTGCTCACTTGCATTAAGAATTGCAACTTCCGTCTTTGGCTTCTAGATCTACTCAGAAGCAGCTTCTTCCCTTTTTAACTTTCAGCCTTTCATAATGTGAATATGGTTATAATCTTTCTTCATGCTTTTCTGTATCAAGCTTCCTGATTACCATATGAATGCACTCATGAAGACCTTGCCAAAATGCTCAAGTTTCAGACACTAACTTGAGATGATCTTTGACAATGTCCATTTTAAAACGCAATATCTCAATTTCAGCAACTACTTCATGTGAAGCTTTTCCGATGCAGAATACACTAAGAATATTACTTTTATATTTTTATATCAGATTAATCACACTGTTGACACATTATGTACACATTAAAACTCTTCTGGTTGAATTATTACATGAGAGTTCTCAAGCCAGGTCAATTCTTAGTTGTGCAGTTTTTTTTTAATGTTTATTTATTTTTGAGAAAGAGAGAGACAGAATGTGAGTGAGGGCAGGGCAGAGAGAGAGAGAGAGAGAGAGGGAGGGAGAATCTGAAACAGGCTCCAGGCTCTGAGCTGTCAGACACGGAGCCTGATGTGGGGCTCAAATCCATGAGCTGTGAGATCATGACCTCAGCCCAAGTCAGATGCTTAACTGAATGAGCCATCCAGGAACCCTCATACTTGTGAAGTTTTTAAAATAAATGCAAAACCTTACATTTAACCCTAAATCTTCTTTATATTTCTAAATTCTGCAAAAATTGTAATCATCCATAATCAAATCAAATTGAATAAGAAAGACATAATTATTAGACAGTAAAATGTCAATGTAATCAGACAATTTCACCAAGTGTCTATTATTGTTTACAACATCAATCCAAGAAGTGACTTAGAACTATATTCCTTTGTTGACCATGTAGTCCTCCTTCCAGAACCTCTAAAGAGATCACACACTTGGATAACCATTGGATAACCATAATTAGAGAGACCCACTCCTTCTGATTAAAGTTTATTCCATGGTATGGTGGACATTTAAAAAAATGTTTCTGAACCACTATCAGAGTGGAACTGAAATATACAAGTATCTGTACAACCTTTAAAATCATTATGGAAGAGTGATATGTAAAATGTTTGCATCACTGACAAGGCAAGAGCTCTGAGCTT